ACCGAATGGGTTTGTAATCCTCCCCCCCCCCCCAATGAAGCTGGCTTGTGAAACTATCAGGCAAATTTGCTATAGTGTGAGAATTCTGGAACTGCTCGTGACAATAGTGACACTCTTTTGTGGGTGCTTGTGCTAATAGCAATGATTGCTTCCGTGTAACAGTTCTGCTCCATCTATGAGGCTTTCCATGCTTGAACCAATAGATAGAAATAACTGTTGTGTAACTAGTACTCACAGATCCCACTTTTCCTACATGACAAATAAAATCCTAATAAATCCCTTTGCCTACAAACCAGTCAACATTGTTGTTAACGTTTTTTCTTTTTTTCATGCTGAAGTGCCTGCGGATACACGTACTGGGTGCTTGTGAGGCATTTCACAGCCTCGTGGTTCTGCGCTAACAAGACTGTGCTTGTCAGGTGAGTGTAACTCGGTTATGTTTTCTCTACGGAGAAATATGCTGATGTGCCTGTGATGCTCAGACGTGCCTGTGATGCTCAGATGCCCCTGAAGCCCAGCTGCTGCTCAGGGCAGCTTGCAAACGTGGAGTCTGTGCTGTGCCTGGGTCTCTCGGCTGTGGACAAGCAGCAGCACACGGATGTGATTTACACACCTCTCTGTTTCTCAGCACAGGTCACCATGCAGAGAGCTGGTGCATGCCTTTCTTACGAGTGTTTTAAACAAAGTAAGCAAAGTGGTGCTTTTCTTGCCACATGGAGGACTATTTCACAGCAATGCCTGCTGCCCTTGCATCATTAACCTGTCATTAAATAAATAAAATAACAATAAATAAATAGTGGATTAGCTTGTGATCCCGAGTACACCTCCATGGAAGAATCCCAAGCAGGCAGATCTATTTGTGTGCACCTGCATGGGAAGCAGCCGTTATTTCCCTGCTTTCTGCTCATAGTTTGAGAAGTCTTTCATGCTTTCTCAATTATCAAGCTTCTAAAAATATTCAGCATGAGGTTTTAATAGCTCATACAACCCTAATGATGTGAGATTAACTCTTCTTTATTGCCATTTACCAACCCACTAAAATTGGTCCCTATGGCCCAAACAGTCTGAGGTCTATTTCCTTCAATCAAGGGAGGTGGAAGAGAAGGCTGGACCCACGGAGTGTTTCCTGAGTCACAGTTTGAACCATTGTCTGCTATTGGAGCAATGCAGTTGCATGTTATTTATAGTTTGTAGCAAAGCCTGTTAATGAGCATGCTAAAATTGTCCCAAAACTGATATCTGTACCCGCCATTAAATGCTTCTCAAAGCAATATCCTGAGCCTTATCATTAAGAATTAAAAGAACAGGCCTGGACCAGACCAGATATCCACCTACTCTGGGTTCCAGTGGCCAACAGCATAAGCCTAAGGAAGGGTATTAGGAAAAAAGCAAACAGATAATGCTCATACTCCCCTAATTTCCAGTGATTTGTAACTTCCTGAGTGAGAAGTAGCATCTTTGTATTTAATAACCCTTTTTACCCTTTTACCCAGGGTAAAAACCCTGGAGGTTTTTACCATGAATGTGTCCAGGCACTTCTAGAACCCATGTAAAAATCTAAGCATATATAAATTTTTGGAGTGAGGAGTTGCACAGCTTAACGCACTGTGACAAAGAGCCTCCTTTCAAACCTGCCACGTGCTAGTTTACTTGGCACCAGCTAGTTCTTGCCATTTAGAACTAGCCAATACTAAATGTTACTGGTCTAAGTGAAATTATTTGAAAAAAATTTTTTTTTCATTGTGATTTTGGTGAACTTCATACAAACTTTCTAGATATGTTTCAGTGAGGATAATGACGGGCATTCAATTAAAAATAAATCTTGTGTAGGACAGAGAATAATATCTTATAATTCAGCAAATGTGCAGTGTGGGATACTGTTTCTTTAAATAGTGTATGCCTCATGAAGTATCTGGAGTGATATGGATGAGGTACCTAGGTCTCACCACCCTCGTTCCCCACCTCCTATTGCATATTCTGTAATTTTCTTGAAAAATAAGATGAATGTGTAATGCTATCTTTAAAGTATACAGACAGAAATACTGCTTTAAAAAGCTGCAAGCCCTGGCAACTTCTTCCTCGCAACAGGTGGTAAGCCAGCCTACAGTTACATCAGCGACTACAATGCTATTTCTGAAGGTCTTCATAGGGTCCAGATCCTCGTGCCCTCTCCTGGTGCTCTGCAGCACAACAGTGGTCATAGCTGTTGGGCTGTAAGACCAAAAGCCTTTTCCCAAGGCTGCAGGAATTCCTATGCAGCACAGGCAGCTGCACACCAAGCCCTTCACAGCTTCGAGTGTTCAAATGGAAGATGCATTCTTTCAGATGAAAGAAACACAGCCAAAAGGTGTTGTATGTAATGATCTCTGGATAGTGCAACGGCTCGCAAAGACAGCTGCAGATTACCTGATGGAGTAAGTGCGGGTGCTACCTGGCTGCTTGCTCAGGTTTCTGTTCAGTGTGTGTACAGGCTAGATCAAAGGATCTTTACAGGTTGTCAGTTTCAGAATATAACTAGAAATTTTAGTCCAAGACCTCAGACAGTACAACGTTTGTCCTCAACAAATAATTCTGACCACTTACGTGTCCTCAGGAGTGCTTGTTTCCTCTAAAAATGAAACCGGCTGCTTGGCACAGGAGCTAGGACCAGGCTGAATAATCCAGGCAGAAGTCTTTGAAGTCACGCTACTCTTCAATGTGGAGCAGGTTGCCTTTCAGAAGGCCTTCTGCATGACAAGGCCTTCCACAGGTTTCTACAGCAGGCAGACAGTGACTTCAGATGGTGCTTGCTGGGATGGCCACTTGTGCTCCTGCAGGGCTACGGGGATGGCACTTGCAGGGACAGCCACTTGGGTTCCTGTGGGGCCATGGCGATGGCACTTGTGGGAATGGCACTCGTGCTTCTTCAGGACCATGGGGATGGCACTTGTGGAGACAGCACTCACGCTCCTGTGAGGCTGTGGGAACGGCACTCATGGAGAAGCGCTTGTGGGGATGGCGCTCACGGGGACAGCGCTCGCACTCCAGGGACCACGGGCTGCTGCCAAAGCCTTTATCAAATGCAGCTGGGGCCATCAGAAACCCTGTCTGAGTGATTTCAAACGGCGAAACAGGGCACCCACGCTTGTTCCCCAGGAGAGGGCACTGCTGCCTTGCTTTTGTGATAACCTGAACATGTCTACATTTTTAAGGGAGATAAAAAGCCATTTAAGACCTGCCTAATGAAACGAATCACAGTGCATCCAGTGAAACTGTTCTAGTGAGTATGCAACATCCTAACTGCGACTGGAGCCTCCATGGTACTGCATAGTTTAAAACAGTGTATTAACAACATATTCAACTCTGATTTTAAAAGCTTCCTTCCTGTTAGCTGTCTAGGGTGCGCTGCAGAAGATGTTCATATAGAAGTATATAGGTCTCATCCATGTAGAAAAAAACACATTAAACAGGCAACTAAAATGTCTAGACCAGTAAGGTAGAAAGGCCATTGACAGCCAAATGCTCAAAATGGTACAACTTTGGGAAAAAGCACAAGTTATTTTGATAACGATTGACATTAAAGGCAATGTTTAAATAATTGTGTGAAATACGTTTAGTGAAGTCATTTGTGTGACTGTTCTTTAATCAGAGGTAAGTTTTGTGAGTCATGTAGCATTTTACAACATGTGCCAATGGACAGCCTTTTAGTTAGCAAAAATGTATGCTCATTTTAAATTGACAGAAAGCTTTAATTTCATGAAAGCTGTAAGGTTGCTTAAGTGATGTAATTTATTACTTTATACAGACATTCTGTACAGCCAGTAAGAATGAGCTGCTTTGCATAACAACAAAATTACCCATAAGAAACACAATGAGCATAACAAAATATATGAAAACAAAGAGTTTAGGAAGAATAGGAAGCAAAGTGTAAAAAAAGAAACAGTAAACAGGTTTTGTCTCATTCTCTCTAACAATAACTTGCAATTCGAGACAAGCATAGGGAAATACATTGACAAAATCTTTGTACAAATTTTAAAAAAGCATGTATAGCCTGAGAAGCATTAAAATAGAATAGAGAGACCAAATTCAGTTTCAGTTTTGTTGCACCACTGACTTCCGAAGTCTATTTAAATATTCTTTACCTTTCTCACTCTTTTTTTTAAGTCCAAAGCAGTGATCAATATATTAAGACCAGACCTACCACATTTGGGCTCAAAAGCATATGGTACATCACTATTGCAAAGAAACCTTCCTGGGATATACCAACATTGGCAACGAGTCTAGTGTAGATCTGTATTGCTACAAGCACCCTTTCCTCAGGTATATTCCTCATCTAAAACTACCTCCGTGTTCCCTCAGTAATCTGGAAGAGCTTATATGAAAGGTTTCCTTGTTCCTCCTTACCAAAATCAAGTGAGAATGTTTCATTAACGGCCAAAGGCACACATGATTGATTTTTTGGTCTGTAGCTAAAGAAGATTTCTCGGTTATTACTGACGTTCTTCATTGTTCCTCAGTAAACCAGCTCAGTAAGTATTTACAGCTGCTGAGATCAGCCAGAAGAACGCTCTGGTACTCTGTGTTCAGACAGCTCATGTAAATATTTTTACTACCTGTTGCCTCTTTTCTTTAGCATCTTTGAGTTTTTCCTTGGCTCAGTCTCCCCTTCATGTGAACTCTGCAATTTATCTCTGAAAGAAAGAAATAAGAACAATAAAACAAAATTGTAGACCAAGTTTTTCAAAGGCTATGATTCGCTCTTTAAGTAAATTCATTTTTATATGTGGAGAAAGGAGCTTGTTATTTGATTATAATTTTTTGCACTTGCAGGTTTCAGCTGCCACTGTTTAGCCTGCCAAAACAAAGTTCCATAAAGATAAATGTTCCTTTGTTGTGTCCCCGTTCCCTACGCCTGTATCCCTTGCTGGCTGTGGGAAAGGAGTGTGTGAAAAGGGTTGATGCCATCAGGGAAAGGAGCCATCTTCTGAAGTCAGTCCCAGGCTGAGGTCACTCAGGGGATAAATACTTTTCCCCAAAGGCCTGCGGCTCCTGAGAACCAACTGTTTGCCTTGCCTGTCAACAGGATTTTCTCTGCTCAATATATCAAGCCCCAGCGACCAGCTGGCTGGTTTGATCTGCCCGTAGTAATCAGCTGGCATCTTTCAGGTTTGTAGCTATTTTTCCTCCTGTAGTTAGCACCCCAGCATAAGCCAATCGAAACATCTATCAAGAAAAATCACTGTTAGAGCCGCTGCTCTCATCAGCCAAAGACCGGCGCTTGCCTTTGTTTGTGAAATAAAGGTGGTACTTGAAAGCCTAAATACCACAGACCATATTTTGGTTGCTATAAGTCAGCCTAGTTCCACTGGATTCAATTATCTGTGCTGATTTATGCTCTCTGTGACCCAGGTTTTAAAAACCTACTTAGAAGAAATTTGGAAACATAGTATTTCTCATTTCTCTACATAAAACAAAGTTACTTATAAAATATGTAACAGCACAGATGAGCCAACTCAGATGACTTCTGTAAACTTAAAAAGAAAGTATGGGGGACAAAAAGGTGAGGTACATGTGAGAAGTAAATACTAAGGAAGATGATCAGCTAATGTAGGTGTTATATTTTGGTTTTGACTGACATACCTGCTTAGGAAATAGGTTTTGTACTGCTTTTTGTAAGAAGCTTTTTCATGGGACATTGTTTTTTAACTTCTACCATACCTGCATAAGCCAGAAGCCTGTCCAGGGGGCTCCCGAATATTTTCATGAGAATCGCCTTTGTCTTCTGATTCTGGAGACTGAAAGGTCTTTCTTTTTGAGTTCATTTTTACCCCTGAATAGACACAGATATGCGAGTTTAAAACCCCCACAGATATTATAGCTTGTTTCTTTCTGATTAATCTAAAGCAGAAAAATATACTCTCATTTCTAGCATAGTAGCACACACATCTATGTTGCTATTCCAAGGGATGATTCCAATTTTACATTAGTACAGAGTATTGTTTTTTGACTATCCATTAGACTATCCACAGAGTGGATCTTGAGCTTGCATACTTGCCAGATATTGAAGGGAGTTTGTGAAATATAACAGCTGAAAGCACTATCAAGTGTTTTCTTAGCAAATAATTGCACGTGGTTCTTAACTAGCAGCAAATAGAAGAAAAGTTGCTTCATAATTTTATGTGATTTGAGACAGAACAACCCGATGTTAAAAAGTCATGGCTTGTAGGACCTTAAGCTAAGTTTCCGTGTGCCTCTCTGGGGTTAACACGCACAGCAGGAGAAACAGCTCTGCGCGCTTGGAAAATGATCGACTGGGGAAAGAGACTTCAAAATTGTCCAGGTGAGTGAGCTACTTTTCTCTTTCAGGAACTTGTCTCATCTTTCAAATGTAACGCAAAATGTTTCATTTAGATATTGACAGAGAAATTCCACAGGACAAATGATGAAAATTTGCACACTCAAATCATGCCAGATGTGGATTAGGGAACACAACTGCTATTCTGGCGATTTGTCCCTAAGCATCTGTTGAACTAATGAATTAGCCTAATTTGTTAAAACAGCAGGAAATTATACAATTATTTAAGATTTCCTGATTCAATAAGGTTTTACTTTTGAGTATGTGTGGGGGAAGATTGATTCTTGCATTCTACCATGAGAAAGTTGGCCATGAGTTGACCATGAGTCAGCTCTGCTGTCCTCCCAAAAATGTAGTGGTCAAGCTGAAGAGAGTCCTTTTGAAAGAAGATGATAAAGACGAAAACAATAATTCTGGTTTGAAAAATTAAGTCAAATACTTATCTCAGTGGACATAATATCATCTATTGGCTAAAGAACTGCTCTGGAGTGAGGAAACGTGACACTTACATGTGATTCTGCTATCGGTGAGTTAGGTGACCTTAGAAAGTCACCTTACTTCTCTATGTCCCAATTCTCCCATCTACTAAGGAAAAGGCATGGACAAAAAAAAATCTCTCCTAAAATTACATTGTGTTATACTGTAAGACATGCAGTCAGATGTGGAATGATGCAGTAACTTCCCTGGCAACATTATTTAGCTTCCACTTAGTGTACTCCAGCAGGTAAGCGCTGCTACTTCAATGCTAATTAATGGATAATTGTCCTTGGACACAGTTGACAGAGGAGATTTTTCATGAGAATAAATTGGAGCTTTAGCTTATTGGGGCATGGTATCTGGCTAATATCAGTGACATGGAAAATTGCTGTAATATGGGCAGGGCAGAATATAATCAGTAGAATAGTACCAGATTTTTTTCTGTTTGAAAAAAGAATTAAGCACTTTACAACAAGGCCCAGAAGACTATTTACTTCTAAATGTTTGTGCCTTGTCTTCCCATTTGCTATACTGAGCTAAGGAGGCTATGATGGGTAACATATTCTGGCCCAAATATCAGATGGTCCATATCAGCGTTAATTAAAATATTAATTGCCTGTTCATACTGCCTCTTTTCTGTGCCCCGTCATTAAAATATGGCGCAAGTGCAAGCAATTCACTGACATCAGACCAGGAATAAAGCATTTAAAACAATTTGGCATTGTACCAACCTGTTGGCTTGCTCCTTTTGGAAAGCTGCTGCTTCATGGGGAGTGGAACGCGGGCCAGCGTAGCTAGTTCTGTGACAAAGTCCTGCTCTGCTTCCTGCCCACAGAGATAAAACAGAAGCAAATTAACAAAAATCAGCTTGCTTCTGCATTATGCCATTCTATACAGGGCATGACAAAAAAGGAGCCTGTCATATGTCATTGTGGAAACATAGAAAATAATAGTGAGCATCAGGGATGTGTTTCCTAGTGCAAAAAGATTCAGTGAGGAGAACTAACTATAGCTTCCCGTTAACCTCACTCAACATGAACATGTGTGTGATGAGGAGCAGGAGATCTGCCATGCAACTGTGCTGATCACATGCACACTGAGTTTGGCCCTGGTTGCCTTTGCTGTGACTGTGAACTCAAGTGCCCTGAGGTAAGGAGGCTGTGTATCCTCCACCTGACTAGATGGAAAGAGATGTCCAAGTAACCAAGGAGTGAGTCTGTACTTGTCATAGACTCAGTACAAAACTGTCAACAAGTAAGGCAAAGAATATAATGCCTCCCTCACATCCTAGTGATCTTCTTTAACCTAATCAGTATTCTTTGGGGGAAACTGTTTCAAACCGTGAACTTGTCTGTGTGCGTTACTGGGTTTTGAGCAATAGCTTCAATGGCAAAGACAGTGGGGAGTCTTAGCACTGATTTCAACTGGACCACAGAAAAGACTGATACAACCTCTCAGAGGTTTTGCTGTAGACTGCTTCAGATCCATGAGTCATTCTACCCGGATTTACCTGGAGCTGAGTCTCCAACTCAGTTTCTAGCTGATGCAATCCCAGCATCTTCTGTTTCAGGCAGTCCAGACGAATCTGCTGCTGCAGTTCAAACTGAGCCAAAACCTTCTTTTGCTGCAGCGCCATTCTGGTAAAGGGAAATTTGAGAGTATCCATTTGTTCAGTTCAAGGAAGGAATACAGTGCTGGCAAAGCATATTTAGAAGATTTTATGGAAAGAAAGGCTCATTAACAATATCAGCTCATCCAGCTCCTGCTGGGACAACTAATTTTGCTGTAGATTTTTATTTTAACAGCCTGCATTGGCTGTCCATGGAATACAGGTTCCTCTCTGAGGAAGGAATTGCAGTAGGAGTTTGGGTTGTCCATCCCTGGACTTTGGGAGTTGGAATTTAGTGCTGTAATGATAAAGTCTGCCTTCAAAAACCATGGTGCACTTTCTGCACTGAATCGTCAGGTCAGTTCTGTCTAACTGCCAAAAAGACAAGCTGCTGGAGGATCAGGTGTAAGGATACAGGATTAAGAAGTACCTATTTCATTTAAGGCTCTTCCGTACCAGGTTGAGATGGAGTCAAAAAATTGACAACTGAAAACTTGGCATCTGGAGCATTGACGTCTATATTATTTGATTATCTTATTTTGCTAGTTAAAGATTCATATTAATATAGCAGAACCTGAATGATTGCAACTTTGTTGCAATCTTTAATTTTTCTTTTCTCTTTCCTGATCTAACTTGAAGTAATACTGTCAGTCACCCACCGCAGTCCTTCAGGGAAGGAGGTACCACAAACTGTTCTTGGCAGCTACACTTTATTAAATTGCTATTGTCACGGTCAATGCTTGCAGAACCTGACCTTTCAAAATTTGCTCTTTGAACTTGTACTCATAACCTTGCACCAAAGGCCAAAACACATAAAAGAATTTCTATTGGGTTTAATAAGAGTGAGATAAACTAATGGAAATTTTGCCATTGATTTACACAGGTCTGGGATTTGACCCTAGAAGAAATCCTAACAGCAACAGGAAATGGGGCTTTATTGCTGACTAAGTGAGATCAACATAAATACAAAATAACTTTCCTTATTACCGCATCTTCTGCTTGCATGAAGGCCATTTTAACTGGATTTTATTTTAAAATATCAGAACATATTATGGGAGGAAAAAAAAACGAGACAACAGCTAGAACTGAATTTGTATATGAGGGTAAATAATGAAGTTGATATTGAATGACTAACAGATCTTTTCTGAAGCCCTTCATTACATGAATCCATTTCTGAACTATTTCAAACAAGAATGAAAAACAGAAAATGGGTAATGATTTCTTTCAATTTAGAAGGAGCAGAGCATCTAAAAAACTATTAAACTTTTTACTACGTCAAAACTGGAGATGCTAAGTTGTTTTGGATAAAAAGCAAAAAGTAAAAAAAAAATTACAAAAATATCATGTTTGCCAAGTCCTGCAAATGCACAGAATATAGCTTTTTACGGTGATACGTTATTCCTTTGAGTTTGCAGTGCTTTTTTTTTGTTTGGATTCTAATTTTTGCAAAATCATATTTAATTCATTACTGCTTTTTATTTAATTAATATTTGAGGGATTCAGCCCTAAATTTAGTGGAAATAAGCTTGACTGCCTAAGCATTCATTGAAATCTTGGCATTTCGAATATTATTCATGCATTTACACTTATTCAACAGCAAACTAACACATACTTTGATAATTCAAAGCAGAAAAGATAAAATGTAATGAAATGAACGGCATCAGTTCCCATCCTTCATTTATTTTAAATTTCTTTTAAAAATTGACGTATGTTTTGGAATCGTTTTTTGTTCTCTAACTGTCTATACATAGTTCTTCAGTCTTTAATTAACGAGCATCAAAAAGTTTAATAAGAACGTAATTTTCTGTGATCAAAGAGTAGATATAATTCACAGAATCACACAGAATCGTTTAGGTTGGAAGGGACCTCTGGAGATCATCTAGTCCAACCTCCCTGTTCAAGCAGGGTCACCTAGAGCATATTGCCCAGGATTAGGCTAATTTGGCAATAGTTACTTCTTTTCTTTCAAAGACAAAACACAAAATTCCAAAGTAAGACATTTATTAAGCTGGACATTAATACAGATCTACAACAAGTCACAACACTAAAATAGAGCCAGTAGTATTCCTGCCTGCTCTTACCTTTGATGGACTGCAGACGATGCATCCAGGAGGCCTTTGTTCAGTTTTTCTTTCAATACCTGTTCATTCTCTTGTTTCTTTCTAAGTCTGCTCCTTTCACCTCTTTCTGCTGAAATAACATCTGTAAGATTTTCTGCTCAAAATTACAAACCCTGCTTTTAACTGGGGCAACCTTTCAACTTACCTTTTCCATCAGCACAAATTAATCAATTAAATTAATATAAATTCTAGGTAGTCTTTCCATATTATTTGCTCTTGAGGGATACTAAGCCCTTCTTATGTACACCTGCTCTGCCATTGTAACTTCTTGCATAATCAGACACCACTTTGAGTCATTTAGCTCGGACAGTAATGGCCAGTGAATTCTGATTTTTATTTTTTCCTCCCACTAGGCTGACTGATTAATGTAGAAGTGAAAAGAGAAATTTTATGAAAAAATATTGATGCCTCAAGCTGGACCTGAAATACCTGAATGAAAATTGCAACGTCAGACATAGGGTAGGTTTCTTCACATACACTGTTGCGAATGGTTACTTTTTTGGAGAACATAGAGGGAGGGAGGTGGATGGGTATGCAACAGATAGGGAGTGAGAAAGCTCATCTAGGGAGCATCCTACCTTTTTCAAGCACCTGTAAAGGCTGGCAGGCACCTCTCCTGCCCAGACACCGCGCACGAGAATGGGTACTGGCTATCCACCAGGCCAGGCCAGGCTGGGCTGGCCAGGAGAGTGGCCACCTTTCTTCAGGCAGACCATAAATTAAAATTCATAGGGGCTACAGATGCACAAGGAAACAATACCCTGTTGCCTGATGTTAGGCAGACTCACTGGGAGAGGGGTGCTTGGAATTAAGGTCCTTGCTTGCTAGACTGTGATGTGTTTCCTATTTAGCTGTCACTTGATGAAGTACAGAAGCAATTTCCTAAGTGCACATGCTAACCACTGGGCAATACACGTGGCTCTACTGCCAGCGTTGCTTTTCCATCTTGTGTTTTAGAGAGAGGTTACAAGTGTATTTGGTAAGGAGAATCATTCGCTCAGTGTGGTAATTGTGCTTGGAGACTGCCTGACCGATCAGCCCCTTTAAAAAAGGAAGAAATAGGTATGCTCTGCCTCCAGGCTGAGCTTGGATGGGAAGCAGCTGGCCAGCCGGCAGGTCTCAGGCTGTCCTGGCTGAGCCCAGGGGCACAACTCCAGGCTGTTAAGTGTCACAGAGAGACATTTAAGTGCTTCTAGGCTGACACAGCAGCTGAAAGGAGAAAGGCAGGAGGTGTGCATCACAAATTTGGACTTTAATTAAAGGAGGGTTTGGGCATATTAAAACAGCAAAGTTCCTTATGGGATCTAGTACTTGCTCCTAATGTGAAAAACACCAACAAAGGAGAAGTAGCCATCCATCACTACTGAAAAACTCAGCTGGATTGTAGCACACACATGTAAGTTTCCAAAATTTTCTTTGCTGCAGCTATTCATTTGATCTGTGACTTTCTAGGTTTCTCTCCGGCCACCAAAGTCTAAAACACTCTTGCTTTTATTACCAACATAAATACTCTCATCATCCTTCATGCCTGTAGGCTTATGCTGCAGCAAAAGAGATTTTCTTTTTCTTCTGTTGAAAAGAAAATGTGATCTTGTAGTAGCTATTTACACATGTAAAGTTTTTCCTTGTAACTCATGGAACAGCAATACACTGAAACAATAATATATCCACACAAAGACTGGGAGACAAAACGTTCTAAATGAGCAATTACCGAAAGATTAGCTGTGGTTCTAGTGACTGGTATTTTAGATCCCATAGCCTCTTTAGGAGACCAGCTGAGAGCAATAATCCAAACGTTGATAAAGCAAAACATTCAAGCACGTAATGGCATCCATCTCAGTTCAGATCAGAGCAACCTTCTGGAAAAGGCTTCCGTTTTATCCCTGCTTAAAGGAACTCAAATTTTTTCAATTAAGACTATGTTTGTATTCAGCTGGATCGCGGAAAAAGAGGTCTTTAGAACAACTTTGCGATAATTTAGGTAACTGCCTTGCTTACTGCCAGTGATAAAAATACAGATTGTCAAAAATCCCAGCACAGATTTTGCCTAACCCTAGCTTGCAATATTAACGTTTTCAAGGTTTATAACAGGGCAGTGCCAAACAGACTGGTTCTATCTTACAGCCAATGCATATGCCTAGCTCTTACTGGTGTTCGCAAATCCTTCCTAGCAAATTATCCACCCAGCCTCATTTCTGAATCTGAGCCTTGAATGAATGCTCTTCAAAAAATCTCGCTTTTGTGGTGCAAGAATCAATTCTATTTAACATGGGTAAGTTTACTTTTTGGAAAACATCTTTCATTCATCCACTTCATGTGTCTCAAATAGTTAGTCTTTGATGTTATTGCCATTCTGCTAACTTGCTAACTTCATTTAATGCCGATAGCCTTCATCCAAGGGAGAGGAGAGTGTTTACAGAAGCAGCCAGTGATCTCTGCTTGCTTTTGTTCTCTTGCCCAGAAGGAAAACTGAGCTTCTGCTAGCCATTAAAAATAATTCCATGAAAAAGTGTCCATATTTATGTGGGATCCAGTAGTTCATAAACCTCATGAGTAGTTTTGAGTGGTTGACAATTAAGAAACAATATGGTAGCTCACAAGCTATTCCAGGCTGGAATAGCCAACTTTTCTCTATCTCCTTACTCTAATGAATTTCCTCTACTTTACAGAGAATAACTTTTCATTGAGCCGAAAAAGGAATCGATACAAGAACCTCTTTCCTAAAGCTGAGAGCATGCGCCTCAGAGAAAGCAGGCCATCTGCCAACACTATTTGTGTTTTCTAACATGGCAGCACGGATTACAAATCTGGATCTTTTCCCTTCCAGGTGAATGATCCAGCTAATGGGCTCATCATACAACCTCTCCCTATGAATGTTTAATTCATTGATTCATATTATTTGCATGCATTAATTTGCAAAATTGAAGAGGGTTCATCATGGAGGTAGATGGTAAGGACAACCTACGCTTAGTGTAACACTTAGCAGCACTGCAAAAAACAACTGTTGGTAATTGCGACTGTGGTGGTTATCTCTGATCTTAACTTGATGAACAAGAGCCTGTGGTTATACCACGATCTCTTTGACACAGAGCCATCTTTCAGTGTGTGTTTGTATCAAACAGAGTAATGGGGTCCTGCATCTACGACTGTAATTCAACTAGTTATTGATAATAATAATTACAGTATTCTACCACCTCTCCTTCAAAGATGGAAACGGACCTACTCATTCATTTTACTTTGCCATTTATTTTAAATAATATATTTCTGCTACCTGTAAAAGACATCTCTACAAGGATAAGAAAATGAATGGTATTTGTTAAAAAACAGGTATTACCTCATAGTTGTCAATATCATACACACCTTGCAAGGATTTCAATTGTTGAAGTTTTTTCCCTTCATAATCTTCTGTGATTTTTCCTAATTGCTGATAGTAGTTTTGCACCAGTCTACTGATATTATTGCTGGTCCCATACACACTTTCTACAGCTGTTTCCAGCAGTCTCTCCTGTATTAAACAAAACAAGCAACAGCTAATTTCTAAGTCAAGAACTGAAGTGGTTTAGCTGCCTAAAACTGAAGGCCTAATATAATTTTGTACATGCACGCAAGATTGTGAATTTTGTGCTTTATAAATGGGGCAGACTGACATGCTGGAAACAAAATATTTCTATACACCCAAGGAACATTTCAACATGAAAAATTACAACAAAGTGTTTCTAATGTGCCTCACCTCCATCTGGCAAAGGAGCATTCCCCTAACTGCTCAATATCCACAGCCCGTTTTGCCTTTTACATGCAGCAAAGGAAATAGAGCAGCATAGGTATAGCTCTACTGCACTTTCCATCATACAGAAAATCTGAGTATTTACTTTGGAAGAATTTTGTTTATTAATCTATGAATTGTTTTATTTATAAATCTATAAATTAATATTAAGCTATTAATCTATGAATACTATTAATTAACCTTAAAATCTTGATCAACAGATAATCATCTCGATTTCTTCCTCATTTTTCTGATTCTCTTTGTCATGCAGGACTCTTTCAATTCTTGACTCTTTCAATTATTTTATATTCTGGGGTTTGGCTTAAGTAAATCTGGTTTGCCTGCTAGAGTGAGTCTTTAGAAAATACTGTACCTCTCCATTGGTCTTAGTTTGTGCATAGTTTGTAAAGTATCTTTAATTTTAAAGCTACTTGTAATGTTTTCCTGCTGGCTGAAGAAAATGAAGAGCCTCTTGGATTTCAGTGACTAACTGCTGGTGAAATTCTAAATGTGTTTGCTGCGTTTCTTCCTCGAGCTTCTCTTCCTCTTCCACAATGTGAGACTCCTGGTAGTCAGACAAAATTATAGCAGGCACTGTGTCATATGAGTGCATTCATAAACCTACTCAGCTTCACTGTAAAAAAATATCCCATAACCATTCAGAATGTCACTCTTTTAATGCTTAAAATCATCTAATTTCCAGTGTAAATTTAGGTACAGCCACTTAGCACATTTGTCTTTGCACCAAAACTATTATTTCAAATATCATTTTTCCCTCCCTGGCTTTTATCTCCCTCATGATATATTGGATAATAGTTGCATCCTGTCCCACCAGTCATTCCCAAGTAACGTATTCCCATCTTTGTATTATGTACGTTGAATTTGGTCTTATTTCTATTTCAAGTAAGAACAATCTAGCGCAAATATCCTGATTTCAGTAAGAAATAACTGTGGATGGCTAGAGAAGGGCAGAAGAATGAGACAAGGGTACAGTTTTAGATTCCTGCAATACTCATCCAGTTTGTGGGCATCTACCTGAGAAAAGGTCAGTGTATTTTTATCCAAGGCCTTCGATAGAGTTTTCTGCCATGAATGTGTTTTATAGCACTTAAACCCCATTTACACTCTTGGCATCTACAGCATCCTGTGGTGGTGAGTTCAACAGTTCATCAACATATTTCTTAGTTTTGAACCTGATAGCTTTGCTTTCTGCTCTCTTATTCTTGTATTAAAGATAAGAAATTGGAAACAAGTGAAAAGTTGTTCTGTATTCAGAAATTTTATGCCAATTTTGAAACCTACGACCTATAAGACACTCCATTTTTAGGTTGAAGAGCTGTAGTCTCTTGAGTTCCTTTGACCACCCTTGGCACCATTGTCTAGGCTTCTTCTAGTTCTATTATCCACGAGATGGGGAGGACGGCAATGAGCAGAGCTACACACCAAACTGAAGGTGCGAGTACGACCATGGACTTAGGCAGTGACACTCGTATGTGGTACGTAGCGTGCAAACATTTTCCCCCTTTGGCTGCCACTTCTATTTTCTTTTTAAACTTGCTTCCTCATTTTTTAATGCAATGCTTCTTCAGGAAATCAAGCACCATTGCAGAGGTTATTTTGGTTTCGGTTGTTGTGCTAGGATGTTAAACCCAACTGCATTATGGCCACTGCCATAAAGTGGTTTTTTTGCGGCAACAGTTTTGAACTAGACTCTGAGCGCTGGCCCGGACCAGGCTAAGAGCTGTGTCTGATTTTGGTATTCTCCTGACCAACTGCTTCACAAAGAGTCATGATGCTCTCTTGGGGGCCAGAGCGACTTCACTCCCCAGTCTATGTGTAGGAACCTCATTCTCCTCTATTATTTCTATTTGGACCCAGAGTTTCAAATGCATTGAGCTTCTACCTTACTTGCCTTGGCAATTAACTTTTTTAACCCACTTTCACTCTATACGCTCTTTAGCACACAGTAGTACACACTCACCAGCACGGCCTGTTCTTTCTTATCTGTTCCCTAGTTTTACAGTTTTCCACAGACTGTCTTCTTTTGAGTTGCTGATGTCCCTCTTCTATCAATAATCTCATTTAAGGCTAAATAAAATTAAATTATTCTAGGAGATTCTGTAGTACCTAAATTCCTTCTTGGAAATAGGAAATGCAAGTAGGAAAAGAACCTGCTCTGCCCACGTTCATCTGTGAAAAATAATGAAATCCCTAATAAAGCTGGGTTATTCTGACATGTCTTTCTTAATAGCACAGGCATATGTTTTTGAGTTTTTTTTTTTTTTTTAGACATCATAAAACAGTTTCTCTTTTTTTAAAAGACCCAAATGCCATGTCATCATGACTCAGCTAGGATTCTGTACTTCTGTTCTCCTGAATGAAACTTACATTTTATATGAAATAAATAGATTAATTCCCTCATAATGCTGTCTGCCAGTCTAAAACTGGCACAACGTCAAATGAAATTTAGGTAAAACAATACTGTATCAGTATGTCTAAAACTCTGGCTGAGCGTCTCTAAATCAACCGCCTCCTTAACTCCTTATATATTAGTCCTACTTTTGGAGGACCTTCATTACACTTTTTTTCTCCCTGACCTTTCCCAAATGCACGTCCAGTCCCTATTTCTTTTTTGGCAGCAGGGATCTTATATATATTTTGGGGCATTTCCTTTCCAGTTTTTAGCTGGCCTTGGAAAGAGGCTGTAATGAAGAGAGAGGCCAAAAGAACACTAATACCTGGGGACATTTGATTTTTGTTAGGGAACACAGTGATTGCATCAGTTAATGTCCCTGTGGGAGCTAAGTGACTGCATGAGATAGAGTCATGGAAAGTACATAAATATAAAAACAATGCAGTCTTATGCATTTATATTTTATTATTCAAGATCTTTACACTTAACAGGGACTAGTTCAATAGAATACTCACCTATAAAACTGGCAGCAGACAGAACTTCCTTATTCCTCTTCCAGGTGGGGAATTAGGGTTTGTATTACATAAATAGGAATTAGAGGGATGCACAGTATTATCTCAGCTAATTATGCAGTGGGAGAATGGAGCACAGAGCTACGACGTGCCTGATGGGTTCAACCCACACATGCAGCAACACTTAGCTGGGCAGCAGCTAACACTGATGCCTGCTTGGAGGATCCTCTGACGTGGAAATCTAAAATCCAGTATTGCTCTAGGCAAGTATCTAACACAGGTAAGTATTTTAACCAACAAAACCTAATATTAACCTGAGAGGTTAACCCTAAAACACACAGTCTCCAACTGATTTGAGACTGACTTGTGGGACCATCGAGTCTAAAAATCCCTCCAGTTTTCTCCTGCCTCCCAGAACTACAGGAGTCAGATTATTTGAAAGGAGGGCATAGAAATGGATGCGGAGCCAGCTCAAGGACGGAGAAGAAAGAAAAACAGTGACGGTATAAAAGAATGTGCTAGGTCTTCTGAAGGAAAGAATTTATTCTCATGACCCTCAAATAAGGACTGTTCAAGTACATGTTAGGATTATTAGCAGGGTCAGCGGGAACTTTAAACCGACTCGTGTTAAAGTCCTTCCTTATACATACTGCCAGGACTTATTTCAATTAGTACTTTCATATGAAATAACTAAATCAGTTTGCTCTGATGACTTTCCCACTGAAGAAGGATGATGCCTATCACATTTCAAATAGATAAAGTACTGGGGAATTTAAAGTGTCTGCCCAGAGTAAAATACGTACGCTTAGGTACCTCTCTTGTCGTGAATGGGTGCATTTTTTGACAGAGAGAATTTTCCTGTCTATTCAGAACTTTAACATTTTATTTCTTGTGATCTCCTACAGCTAATTCCAGTGCCATCATAGCGTACAAGAACGCAGAAGGGAAACCAGAAGAACGTTGTACCTACCACTGCTTTTTGTAGCTGCCACTGATCTTCATCTTGGCAGTGGGAGGAACTCTTCTGCAGGACATGCTGCTCCCTTAGCTCCTGAAGCAAGCTCTTCTTCCTGGACATCCTCATGCAGGTCAGAGTAGCCATCCCAATGTTTCGGAGAGTTACCCTTCTGAGTACTGAACACAGCAGAAGCCTGTGTTTTTGCAATATATAGTGCACAGATCTGTAAAAAGGACCATAAAAAAATCAGCCAAGCTGCTTGCTGATTTTGCATGCAGGTTCCGCAAAGCAATTGCACAAAGATAACAGAATTACTATTTATTCTGTGTAATATCTTCCCATCTAAAGCCTATCTTAGAAGGCTTTTCAGTTATAAAGTACAGGTACCATGGTGACAGATTTCTAGTTCTGTCATGCCAAAGTTAAAATAAAAATATGAGGGAAAGGGGTAAATAATCTCTCTTATAGCTCACATCATTTATCTCATAATAAAAGGTATTTTAATAGAAGATTTTAAATAAGACAATGAGGGAATGTAATGAGAATTACAGGAAAGCTATTTTCAGTTGCATGAAACGCAGGACAGCATAGGACAGCATGCCTTTGATTAGCAATGGGGCACTCTGTGAAGAGACCTTGAAGAGGCTAGTGCTAGCCAACAGGGCAGACATGGCCAGAGCAAGTTTGTGGTCACTTTTAAAAAAGGAGAGCAAGTTTTGAAGTTGATTCTGGACAAAGTAAATGAAAAACTAATAGGTTGTTTGCAGATTTTGGGATAAACTTGATATGCTTCAAGGTGGGTTTGTGTCTGAATCGAATTTGTGTGTATGTACAAGGCATCATGAGCCCTCTGTAAATACTAAAGTCTGGGGAAATGTATAAGTCAGAGAAGGTGAAAAAACACGGTTGAATTGAAAAGTAGCGTCAAAATAATGGAGTGCAATAGCAAAAATACGAATATTCCAGACAGATAGGTCTTCAGATGATTTGGAAACGCGAAGACCACGGTGAACTGATATCGTTTGATATCTTTATCAAATCAAAAAAAGGCAAATAACATAAAATTTTGTGTTTTGAGAAGTATCTCTGTTAGCTGGACTTTTAGCTGAACATGGCCGAGATAAGCTAAAAGTTCCTTTAGTGAGTAGGGATAGAGAAGGCAGAGGCGTTATTACTATGCAAAGATGTGGTCAGCTGCACTCTAACGGCAGAAAGCAAAAGTAGCGGTAAATGATGCTGGACTGAGCATTTTATCTTGAAGGATAGCCCACTCCAGTGTGACAAACAGAATGCAAAGCGGGGTTGGTTCAACAGTAGGAATCATTCATGAACACGGGAGTAGATATACAGAAAACATACCACTTGACAAGTCACAGAAAAATTTACTTTTCATACTTACCAGGAGTCATGATATCTGATGTTTTTGCTCCATCAGTGCTGAAAAAGGGGGCGATTAATACTCAAAACCTACAGTAACTGTCTCTTTGGCTGAAGAAGCTGAGAATCCCAAACTGTTTAATGGACCACGCCTGGGTTTTTTATTGTGCATGCAGTTTTACAGCAGTGCTTAGTGATAAACCATACTTACTCATCACTGAGGCCTCCTAGTCTGCTTACCACACCTTGAATAATCTTCTCTTGTTTCTCAGACAGGTGTTTTTGTATCACAGCAGACAGAGCATACTCCTTTAGCCACAGCTAAAAGCAGGGAAAAGAGTTACAGTTGTAAGATAGTTTGTTTTCAGTCATTCTAATCACATACCATGAATCAGCACTATTTTTGTTAATAGTGCTACAAACAATCAATCCTCTCTTTGAAATACCAAATTTATACTGAATTCCAGCTATTCTACTTAAGAATCCCATTTTTCTCATGTCTCAAAGTCTGACCCAAAGCTCACTGAAAAGAATGGGAGCCTTTGCACTGATTTGGATCAGTTCTGAGCTGTTTCCTACCGATTTTGTAGTTTCTGCAAATAGTGGACCAAAGGAAAAAGAACAATGACGCACAAAATATTGCATTGACTCTTATCAGCATGTTCCAGTGGGCTTTTTGTTTGACTCTTTTTCCCAAGTAGAGAATGTAGGTTTTATTTTCACTGAACACAATAAAGATACCATCTTCCATCATGCTTTTGGGTATAGTAAACAGTGCTGTCTAATAGTTAAAAATGGAGATTGGGTGATTAGGTTTACGGATTATAAGTACACAGCTCCTCCAGGGTGATATTTAGATCAGAGAATTTAATCTTTACATGTTTTGATAGATTTTCCTTTAGATCATAAATTTTTGGAGATACAGACTTTGATTTTGTTTAGCGTATTACCAGCATTTAATGAGTAAGAAGCCATAAATGAAATGACTTTTAGGCCTAAACTCTATTACTGTGAGGTGGAGCATATATTTTAGGCTATACTGTCAGTTCAATAAATGCAGGTTGCTTGCAGACATAAGCAGAGCCCTAAATTAAATATACTACTCAGGCTCGCTAAAGAGTTTCACTTCATATTCTAGCCTCATTCAGAACATAAGGGACTAAATTTTCTGTCAGAGAAGATAGCAAGACTGCACTAGGTCAATATAGCCCACCTCCTAGCAAATGCGTAAGATGCAACCCCTGTTAGTACTAGGACTGTTACTGGGCTTTCGTATTTGTTAGTCTTTTCCTTGGGAAGCAGTGATCTGTGCGGGAGAGGTTTGTGCGTGAACACAGAATAACCTACCCTGGGAGGTGCCCGACATCAGAAGCCACATCATCAACCACTTGCAAAAGCTAAGGGTACTTATTTTTTTGACAGCGCATTCTCTTTAGTATACACAGCAATACATATATTGACCCCTCTCCATGGAGAAAACCCAAACGCATGCTCCTGAGCCGGATGCCTAGGGAAGGTCGGGCAAGGGGTCTGCATGTGGCAGACGGAAAGAGTTGAGCCGAGCTCGGGAAGCAGAGCGGGGAGGAGAGCCCGTACGGCCCTGGGAGCTCCTGACGGAGCCGCGCAGCCAGGTCTCCGCACTGACGTGTCCGGGTGACGCGGCAAACCACGGACCGCAGGGGAGCGCGGCGTGCGCTCCGATCACATATCCCCAGTGTCAAAGTAAGGGTGATCAGGTCTCCAGGCTATCATCCTGACAGGTGCCACATACCTGCCTGAAGCAATAACTGTCCCAGCACTTCTCTTTAGCAGCTCCGTTTGTGGACACGATTTCCTAGTGTTTCACACCTCCGCATATGCCTAGTAAATGCTTTGGTTTACCAAGCCGGTCCATTGCACAGGCTCTTGTAATGTCTCTTTCAGCAGTTAGAAGAAGAAGGGCTGAAAATGACCTTTTACTTTCCAGAAGAGTATTTTCAATGACGGACTGCCTGTGACAGTCTCAGTTGGGGCTTCCCATCATTTTTTGGAGACTTGGTTATTAACTGAGAAGTTGTTCTTAAAGTGCCTAACTGCCCATTCACTCTCAAATTGCACGCGGATTAAATCTGATGTAGATCGCCAAGATAGGGAAGACAGGAGTTTTATTTGATTTACAGTTGGAATTGCAAATGTTATAATATTGCAGCCAAGAAACAAAAATTTAACACCTCTGCTGCTATCAGTATAGCTTGTCCAAAAAGGCACTCAGAATGATAACAAAGACAAGGACTGTAGTAGGGATTGCCGTAGCTGTTTACTTCTTATTGTTTATTGAGAAATAACATCGTTCTGGAATGGTGAACATAGACTTTCTTTTAAAGGCAAAGAATGACTCATTTCCACTGAGACTACATCTAACATAAACCGTATGCAAAATATAAAAACGGTCTCTTCACCCCTCTGACACCAATAGGAAGCAGTATAAAATATATAACGCAGTATAAAATCAACCCTGGCGCGGAGTTATTAAACTGAATAGTGGAAGTGTATCAGCTATATCAATAATAAGAGAACAAAGAGGAAAGGAGGAGGATTACTCTGCATTTAAGATGAGGTGATAAATAAGGAGGCTTTAGATTCAGACCAAACAATAAATTACTATTTTGTCTCAGAAAGATCATTAGGAAGATGATCAAGAACAAAATGGGAATAAGAACAGAATATTGTACATTTTATTGCTAGTAACATTTCAGCTGCTCACTGGGATGGACTTGGAGGGGCTGGATATTCTCCACCTCCAAAATATTAGAACTCACACACACAAGCACAAATGCAACATCAAAGATTCTCTGTGAGTCTTAATTTGAGGCTAGTGGCGTACGGCTGAAAAATAGCAAAAAGGGACAGCTATTTCATCAAACCACGGGAAAAGGTTGGCCTTTGTGCTGCACTGATCTTCTGCCACTGGGCCAAGTTGCCCAGAGCCTTTTAAAGCTCTCCTTTTCCTGGGGATGGTCCCACACTGTTGGGAGACTCAACACCATTAAGGGAAGATGGGGGCCATATATACAGTCCTATATATATTTCATGGTTTGGGGTTTTGCCTCTCCACCTTCCTGCCCAGGGTGCTGGGAGCACTGGATGGAGAACTGAAGAGGCTGAGAGAGGCCACCAGAAAGTCTGCATCTTTGGTCAGACTGGGCCTGGGCTGCCTGAAGAGGAACTGTGTTGTACACTAAGTTACAAGCTCTCCCCACATCACTTTCTTTTTCATCTCAGCACTTGTCCAATACAACGTCACCAAAATATTGCTAAATATTGCCAGATCAGTGCGAACAGGACTGAGAAACTGACTCTGTTCTGCGCAGACTCGGTGGCTGCAATGGAGCATGTGATCTCCGATTCCTCACCTCTTTTAACCATTAAAATAACAGACAAAATCATTATAAGAGACGGACTGTTTGGGCTGGAAGACATGGAACTCCAAGGAGTGTTAGGCTACTTGAAGAGTCATTCCAATCACCATGAAAAAAAGCATCTCTATGTAAGTGAGAGAAAGCAATAAAAAGCACACCACGTCAGAAGTGATAAGCAGATGCTGATTGACCTCCCGCGGGTTCAAGCAGTGATGTTGGAATAGATGGACATCTCCTCATCTCCCTGTGTCTCTGTACATTTCTTGATGTCTGGTTTCCTGGCAACAAGTCAATTATAAGATCTTCTGGAGCATAGCTAACACTGAATATTACTCTTTTGCAATAAAGGAGTCGAGTACGCCTTTGGTAAGTAATGAAAACCTTTTTTTTTTTTTTTTTGAGTTAGACCTCAGACGCAACAGCAAAATAGACCCAGGTAAGCTCACTCTTTCTGCAACTCTCAGTTTGACACTTTTAGCACAGATTCTTTCAGGAAATCGAAGGAAAGCAATTTTGCTCTAACAGCCTGTAGATGGTGTGTGATGCACACTGAATGCCAAGTAAATGCGTTAAACAAGCACGCACTCCACCCTGTGTAACTAGTGCACAGACATGAATGCTATTCTAGAGAAATTATGAGACCACTACGGTTTAAACAAATAACAGGATCAAAAAGTTTTAAGAAGCTCCCATGGGCTCATGAGGGGCTTGAACCGGCCTCCAGTGCAATCAAGAGGTTAAAAAAAAAAAAAATTGTGACTTAAAACACAGCTATTGCAATTTACACCAGCTGAGGACCTGTTGTCCTTGTGAGTGGAGGGAAGGATGGTGAAGGAGGGCATCCTCCTGATCTGATTAGTGATTTATTCCTATTTGCACTACTCATATATATCCTCAAGCTTGTAAGGCAAAAGTGAAATAAGAAATAGAGTTTTTCTTTTCAAGCAGATTCTGTTCCCTCAAAGGACCTCATACCCTAGACAGGTTTTAAATGCTATGAAAGATAAACTCAAAACAAATACACTTCAGGTTAATGGGAAAAATGTCTTTGTGCTTACCTTGCTTACCTTGGTAAGCACACTTAAATACCCAGGTGAAAAGCGTTCTGGTCTTAGACAGTCTTCCCAGTGCTGTAGAGCAGATGACTATGTAACTCTTAGCGCAGCGTGTTTATCAAAAGGTAAATGACAGATATATCTCCTATAGGAAAATGCCTGGTAAACTAAAAGGCCCGTTGATATGAATGTAGATTTATGGGCTCTTCTGTCATACTCAACACTGTAACTTCTGCGGGATCTCCCAAATGACATGAACACCCATCACAAGTGTTTAATCTCTCTTCTCCTTCTTTCCCAAAGGGGGAAACCAAGTTGTCCCTTTTGCAGGGTACAAGCATCTATTTATTGTTTAAAGTACAGGCTGCTGTGCTTACACTAGGGAAGGTCCAAGAAAAGCACTTTGTATTTGAATATAACATGCTGTGCTGTGTGATGTTTTTCAGACTTGTTTATACAGGAAAATCTCCAGTCTAGCTGGAATAGCTATCCTTCTGCATGCTCTCTTTGGAGATATAGTAGACTTTTTTTCCAGTTTAGTTCAAGCTACTTGTAAAAAGCCACAGGCTAAAGTGAAAAAGCCACTTCTAAACTCCTGCAAAGAATATCATCTTGAGGAAACATACATTTTCCCATAAAGAGGTCTCCTCTAGAAATTTATTCTGCAGTATCAGTCATCCTTAGGAAAGCTCTGTCTGCTGTTCAGGCAACTTTTATGTTGAATAAGGCCCAACTGCAGGTGCTGGTGACCCAGAGCACAACATGGGAGTTCTGTTATTGCTCAGTGAATACCTCATTTGATAGCTCAGTAATTATTGTTAATGATGTCAGCAAATCCTTTATTCTTTTTCTTCAGCCAGAAAGCCATCTACTTTATGTTATGAATGCTACGACATACTGAAAGTGAAGGAATTTCTAATTTAAATATCCTATGCTTGGGCATGACCTGAACATCTGAATCCATGCACAATGAATTCACCATACAGTGCTGTCCAGGGAGCTCTCATCCAGCAGCTGGGTGCTGGTGATTAGTCCTTTGATGAACAAATCCTTTTAATCCCTTGAGAAACAATATCGAGGTGCTGATCTCCCTGCTCAACCACTCTTATATACTGAGTCCAATCACAGTAACAGCAAATGCATAAACTGTGTCGGGAACAAAACTTTAGAACTGAGATGTCCCCCGCTACGGGAGCTATTAAACTATACCCTCTCCGGCCCCGGAAATGTTGTATTAATTTTTGAACAATGGCTGAGATTCAACAGGAGAGCGGAAGGACCAGAGCAAAGGTGCTCAAACACCCAGTCTAACTTTTAGACTAATCATAAATTGCACACCAGAACCTCCTCCTTTTTTGGATGTGATTTCCAATGATAGTGGATACTACCGTGGTGCTTTGTGGCCCTTGCACTGTGGGGTATGTGTGTACTTGGAGGGCTCCTACAGGACTGGGCTGTTCAGGTCCTTCCCATGTAAGGACAGGCATTTCATGAACCCTATGTGAACTTAATGACAAACAGGCACCTAGATGCTTAGCTTGGTCAAGAAAGCTATTGAATATAATCTCTGATGAACAGGGGTAAAATAAAAAAATCTTGAGGTCACACATTTGTTAATCACAGTACGTATAGGTACGCTAAATTCCAACACTAAATATTAGCCAACAGTCCTACAAAATACTCGTGCCCATTCTTAACTTAAAGCACATGAGCAGACTCATTGTCTTCAGTGTTACTTAGAGACCCAAGGATATTTTAGTTTTAGTTTGTCAGATATTCCTGTGACACAAAAACAGAAGGGGTAAGCAGACTTATTTTTCAAAACAGTTGAAATAACAGGTGAGTCACAATGCAGTAAAGGTAAAATTAACGGAGAGCTGTTGTATAATTCCAAAATAACCAATATGGAAAACAAATGTGACAGTTCAGAATGTCCAATAAATTATTGAGCTTTTAAATACCCCAGAGTGTTCTAAAACCACTGGTGAGTAAACTACTCTACCAGATTTAGTAGGAAGCCCAATGTTTCCCAGATCACACGGGTTTATGGGGGAACCCACAAGATGAGTAGGCAAAACATTTTGCAGTTTGTAATAGTTAGCGACTCAATTAATACCTTATCAACCATGTACTTAACCTGCAAAAATAATTATACTGGTTCACATGTATTTAATCACTGACAGGCCCATGACAAGCGAATACCGCAAAAATACTGCGCATGCAGATTAAACAGAGAAGTCCTGAGCAATCAAGGCTATATGTATATGTATATGTACAAACACATATACAACACAGCACAAAGCATATGGTAAGATGTCATTAAGCTGAGAATATCCTGAAGTTGCTATATGAGACTCTAATATGAGATAGATTAAACAGAACAGCAGGCATATTATACACGTGTGCCAGCAGCACCTGTGTCTGAGGTTGCTCAGGTTTTCCCATTATAAGAGACTGATAAATAAGGTCTCATAAAGTCTGCCAAACTTTAAATATTTGGCCTGCAATCTCCCAGGAAGATTTTTTTCCAGCATATGTCACCTTGCACAGCATATGTCATCTTGCATTGTCCAGACATGATGGAGAAGAGGTTAGGGAAAAGCATGATTTTGCCAATGTTAAAGAACTCTGTCTACCTTTCCCTTGAAAAACTCCAGTTACTCCACATATTTCAGTACACACTTGAAATTTGGGAAGGGGCACACCTCCATATAGGAAAGGTCATAAGCCATACAAGCCTTCAAAGCAGTGTTAATAAAGAGATAGCATTTCATGGATAAATTGAAGGTTTATTTGAGTTCCTGCCTAATACTAAAGATACCTGCCCCTCAATTTATTGTTGTTGCTTTTCTTCTCCAACCTCAATGCCTCTATGCTGGGTACAAGCAGAACAGAAGAGCAGGCTGCGTGTTTCAGCACCCTCTCAGAGTAAACAATCAGTTTTATATAGCATGTGTATCATATATTTGCGCTTATTATAGTATTGGCCATTAGACATGCTTAAGAAGTATTGATTATTGTAAGGCCTCCTGTCCTGTAAACTGTACTTATATGTAGCATTTTACTTGCTGTGAGTAGACCAGCTGAAGTTTTTCTGATGTGCGTGTGTTCAAGACCTGTGACCTGTGTCCTCAAGAGTTGAGGACATGGTGGAAATCAGACAGAAGCCTTGCCAAAAAAAGCTTCTGTCTTGGCAAAGTTGTCAAACGCTGTGGACAGATGTTCAGTAGTTACTCTCTGGCTCTACTGTGCCAGCCTACGTGCACAGTATACACATTCACTCCATACTGCAGTTCAAACTGCCCATCCTGAGTCTAGACCTGAATGGACATTATATTTGCCTATAAAATATTCCCCACAGATGAATAGCTTGATAATTTCTTTCCATACTGCTGTTTTTAGAAACAAGGATTCCAGAACGTGATACTGGCCCTACCTTTTTCTCTTGCAGCAGCTGTTCCTGGAAAAGCTTCCAGCGTCTCTGGCAGTGGGCGTCCCATTTCTCCAGCTGAGGGACCAAATTCGCCTGCCATTCCTCTTTCAAAAGTTCACATTCTCTTACAGAGAGGCCGGTCACAATTGGAAGGGTCTGAAGAAACAGCTCCTTCACCAACTCCGCTAAAGCATGGGAAGCTTTAGAGTGCAGCTCCTAACAGGAGGACAAGGAAGGACAGAGTGGCACAGGTAAGAATGTGAAACCCCAGGACCTGTGTTGCTGTTTGACTGCATGTCCATGTCTCAATTAACACACTTAGCCGGTGACCTCCAGAGCTACAAGCCAATGCCACAAACGCTTGAGTTAAAAAGACCAGAATTTATAGATGGAACCTGCAACAACTTCAGTGTTTTGGTTTAAGGCATACAAGAGTTATTTATAATGCAGTAGTTGCATTACAGTTGTGCCTATAAGGCAAGTGGTTGCATTGTAGTTGCATACTGCAATATGAGATCTAGAATCTTAACTGTTGCCCACATGCTACTGCAATACAAATAATTTCTTGTTTTACTGGCTACGGTGATGTGTTACAAAAACCCCACTTGTTTCGAATGTTACTGTGGAAACAATCCTGCATAGCACAGCACCTCATTGACATATTTTACAAGGTACTCCTACGAAATGAATGAAGGCAAGAGATGAGGAAGAGTTAAAAGGGACAGCATGGCATTTAGTTAGACGAGACTGACACTAGTCAATCGTTCAAATCCATCCTGATGCAGAGCAGGTGCAAGACTAGGAAAACAAATATGTTTTGGTGTTACTATTAAACTAGTCCCCTATGAACGATTTTCATTGCTGAGGCTGTTTCACTTGCAAGAAGCATTTGGGTGATTTAGTCATATGCCATCCAAGCTACTAAGTCTTTTCAAAACACATAATTTCACTGTCAAATATACGGTGATGATACGAGCTATGTTTGCAAACTTGCTAGAAACCTGAGATCATCCCTGAGGAGAATGCCTTGAGTGCAGGTGGCTTTCCCTAGAGAGAAAACAAAGACACCTCAGAAAAGTCATACAGATACTGCGACACTCCAGCAGTATGAAGAGCTATTTTTGTGCGAGTTCCACATGTTTTTACCAACCTAAAAAGCTTTATTGCCTGCCTTTTTTTGCTTTTATTGTAAATCCCTGTTAGTCCTCTTGAAACCACTTCAATTTATTTCTTTTCCTCTAAAATACAGCTAATATTTTTAAAAATTTTTTCAGCTTTCCTGTTGCAAAAACAAGTAACTCAAGTCTTTCTAGCTGTTGTCTTCCCTTAACTATGGATTTAACCACAATCTCTTAAGTGATGCAAAACAAGACTCCCTCTCTAGAAACACAGACATACTTATCTAAATGTCAAAAACATTTGTTTGCAGCTCATACATATGAAAAGTTCTAGTGGAGTTGTCCGTTGTTCAGAGACATGCTGGCAAAATGTACTTGTAAAAGCCCATACCAACTCCTACATACAGTATTATAAAAAAACCCAATAAAACAACAACAAAAAAAGGAAGTTACATTTGCAAAGTCCAGGTCTCAGAAATAATGAGCAAGCAGAATTTAGGTTGCATGTGAATTCTTGGCCCTGTGCATGACTCCATACTGACAAATTTTGGGTTCTTGTACAATTTCCACAGGACCTTTCTCCTGTTCAGTGTTCAGGATCATTATCAAGCTGTGCACTGAATATGAAATTATTATTTTCCTCCTGGGATCCCTCTAGGATGCTAATCATCATATTAATGAACTGTTTCACTAATGAAAAATAGTTTACCTTAACAGCTCCCTGCACTAACCCCATTTTATGGACAAAATCAAGACACAATGCTATCAAAAGCGTTCACTACACCTTCAAGATGAGGTGTCTTGATTTTTTTCCCACTCTTTTAGCTGTTTAAAGCACGCAACATTTTCAGGATACAGGTCACACTGATTTTGTTCAATCTCAAAATGTTCTCAATTTTTGTAAATTGGGCTACAGGTTTCTGAATTTAGGCACTGGACGTAAGTATCAGAATTCTGGCAGCACTGGAACAGGGCAGTGGAGAGGCAACGTAAGGGACCATTCTGCAATTAAACTAAAAACGGTTTTATGGGAAATTACAGACCAAAGAATTTTGGACATGCCCACAAATGCATCCTACGCAGCAACTGACTATAGTTATTTCTGCTCTGCCACGCTTTTCCCAGATTAAGTATCTAGACTAGATATTGGGAAACACTGAAAAGTAGAATGAAACCTACTACTCCATTCAGGAGCAAGTTATTGGCTGCGAGGTGCCCCAGAGAGCACCGAAGTATTCTCGGACCTGACTGTACATATCAGAGCAACGACAATATAGCCTGCGCTGAAGAAAGGATCTCCCCCACTCCTTAATTATTATAGTTACCAGTTCCTGTTGCAACAAAAGGCAGTATTTAAACCATTTTAATAAACTGTGTAGCTGTGGACCTGGCTTAGCTTGCCAACACCGTTTCTGAAAGAAACGGAGTTCCCACTATGGCAACTATATAACTTGTAACACATCTTTCTTTGGCATGCTGACAGCCCTGCATTATTATTTACTAGGAAATCTTCTGCACAGAACATAAAGAAGGTATTTTGTTACTTGTAGACATGCCATTTTGTTTAAAGACCAACTGAATAGCATTCTGAAGCTTCAAATTATATTGTATACTTAACTGCAGCACTTCCAGTGTGGTACCTAGTTACCCAGGAAAAATGTGACTAGGTCCTCGTCCCACACAATTACATAACTGGTTAATGTCACAAGTGTGATGGGCATAGTGATCTTTAGATCTTTACATTAAAGATGCTTTAATATTTGTTTGCAAAGTACTTCATGGCTCTCTGCTTAAAGTGGTGTGAAAAGACAAGAAAGTTGGATTGGTGGTATCAGCAGTCCCCAAACTTCTTTTTCTTCAGAAATGAAAACACTGGGTGCCTGAATGGACAAGCAGGACTAAAGAGTAAGTATTTTACATTTCTTGTATGATGAAAAGTGGCATGTAAGAAGCAGGAGGACCATTCTGGTGCTGCAAGCCCCTCAGAGAGAGTGATATTTAACTGTACTATTTCCTCAAAATTCTGCTACAAGTTCTGTTCTCCGTAGGATACATATCCTGTACTTTCTTGTCTCAAGTGTAGTCCATGATCACAAAATAAATTACCATCAGTGACGGCCATCAAAATATTTACTAACTTTTTGTCAATGTTCAAGGAACAATTGGTCACTGGCTTCTTTAATCTCAGCACTTAATAATATGGACATTAGCCTCAACGCAGTCCTTGCAACTCAGGCCCTACCATGCTAGCATGTTCTATACAGAGAATTGTACCACAAATACAGTATGATGGTTACGTTGTTTAATGCAGTGCTTGTAGAAATGTAGTAGAATGGCCTTGTAGAATATGGTAAGGAACTAGATTTAGGAAAAAAATGCAAATGTGATTGAATTCTACCAGTGTGATTCAAGCTAGCAAAATAGTTTGAAATTATCTGTACTGTGAATATGAAACGGCAATAGAGTCAGGCTGTGAATGGGGACAGTGCACTACATACACATGATAAAGTTTATCGTCTACAGGAAAAAACAACAAAAAAAGAACAATTAAGAAATCCTACTGCTTCCACTGTCTTATTTTTGGACGAGAAGCCCTATGAAATAGTTCTAATAAACTTCCTGATATGCCATCTTCTTGGTTTCAGAACTTTTACTAAATGCAATGTATTCAAATTGATTCTATTAATAGAATAGCTGATTGCAATGCTGAATGAACCTGTCTGTAGTATCTGACAGTCAATCTTAAAGCTTTTCAAATAATCTCCAGAGGAACTCATCAAGCGTAAAGAAATACCACAGGGTACGTGCAGAAACAAAATGGGCTCAGATTTAAATGCTGAGTGCCTCTGAATTTCAAACAAGGCAATAGATATATAATTTTATCAAAAACCAGGGAAATAGACAGCTTATAAGATTTCACTACAAAATAAAAGATCCGCATTAGTGCTTTCCCCCTCCCCACCTCAAATGATGAGAAGGCTCCTACATGTAGATGAGCATAAAGCGAATAATGAAATTGTGAAGCAGGAAAACATATTTAGAAAGGTTGGTTGTACTGTAAGCTAAATGCCAAGAGATTTGTCTCCCAAGCTGTATTGTAGCTGATTAATGGCAGGAACTCAATACACACATCATACATCCCACGGATACTCCAAGCTCTCTTGACAGCACTGGCCAATAGAAGATAGCTTGCATTATCAGCTCATGCTGAATTGGGAAAAGCCCTTCCTCCCCTCCTCTATGTGAAGAATAATGGCATGTTAATTGCTAAAATGCATAAACTACCCTACCAGCAAAACACAATACCTTGCTTCTAGGCAGGTGATACTGAAGTCATCCTGTGTTCAAGCTAATCAATAAAATAAAACATTTAGTTTACATGTATTAAAAATGGAGGTTCACTGAAATTCCAGTTTTGCCACCTGGTCCTTGATTTATTCAGGACACAGTTTAAACCTTCTCTTTTGGACTCCACCCTTTCTTAGAAATGTCCCTTTGCAGAAAAGGTTATGGGTTGCACTAGATCTAACTATTAACATTTTATGAATCCATGCAGAGGTGTTCCTATGCAAAAAGGCAGGAAGCAAACTTCGGAATTAAGCCTAGCCATATTAAGTATCTTGTATTTCACATCAACACATCCATACATCCATAGTGACTATGAAAATATACAAACTGGCTGAACTTCTGCAGCTTACTGCTGACTCTTGATTGATGTTAGACATGTAGGTAATCAATCATTTTGGGCATACAGAAGGAGCCAAGTTGTTTGGTGATAAGATAGGAAAGGCCAAAGAAGGACACTGGGACTTCTAGCAAGATGCGGCATGCAACTACAAAATCATGAACTTCATAGAAGCTTTAGCAGTGGCTACTGCAGGAAAAATTTAGATATGATTGTAGCAATACTATGGAAATGTATTGTATACAAATATAATGTATTGTATGGAAATACAGTTTCACAGAACTGTAACAGAACGTGCAAACATAGTGGTGGAGATAAAGACCTCAAAGCTTTCATTGAAGTGGATAGACCAAATTTGATCAACATCAAAAAACAGAACTAGACCAAGCTTGCCTGGTAAGAAGTCAAAAACT